GTATGTTAAGATTTTTATACCATCACTTCTGTCTTTATCAACACTCATCTTCATTCTTGGAATTATAATTCTCATGATTACGATGCTCCTGATTCATATTTGTGAGGTTATCTGCCAGTTTACCTTCCCAAGCCTGGCAGTCTCAGAATTACATGCTCCAATGTATTTTGCCTGTAAGTTAATACTCATAATAAAAGCACACTGTTCTCCTGGTCTTAAGATATGCGACTAATCTTTTTAAATTTGTTCATGGGAACGTAATGAAGATTTATAAAGATGTTTTTACTCTCCAATTTTGATATATCATGTTCCTAATCGAATTACACTCTTACAACTTGGAATGACTATTTAAGTTTGTCTTTACAAAAACACAATATTCTTGTTGATTCCAGGGACATGAACACTCATATTCAAAAGACCAGGTAAGAATCAAAAGGACTGACATGATACAGTAACTCGTTTTTGTGCAAAACATTGTAGATAATGAAATATAAATGAGAGAGATAAATGGTACTGAATTTTAAAAATAACTCTTTTCCAATTGGTAATTTGAATTGATCTTTTCCTTTGCTTAAAAATGCTCTAATCAAAGGCATCGCAACAAATCCATGTCCACTCAGGTCTCAAATTATTTACCTGAGTAAATAATAGAACAACTTTCCTGAAGATTACTTCTCTGCAGTGGATTGCAATAAGAACCCCAGAGTGAGTCCTTAATGTCTGCTGATTGCTAGGAATTGGAATTACAATGTCAAAATTATTTATTTCAGGTCGTGGGTATTTGGCTCAGACTCATGGATATTATAATGGCAATAGCAGTTAGCATGTATTAATCTCTTTGAATGAATTAGCAGTGCGATAAGTTCTGTACATATGTTCTGTCACTTAATCCTTGAAATGAATTTGTTGTAGCTTATTGCAAAGAAAAAACTATTATCACACTTGAGCATATTGAGGCTTGGGAATATCAAGCATGTTAAAATAAAATCATACAGCTACTAGTATAAGAAAAGAGTATTCAAATGAAAATCTTTCTCACATCAAGCTTCTATGTCGTATTTCCTACTTCTAGACTTTTTTTTCTCTCCTTTTTAAATTGCCTGTGGAAATCTATCAATTATTCAGCATATTTTAGATTTTTACTTTCTTGGGTATTTTTCTTCCTTCCAATGTATTTAGCTTTTGAAATCTGCAATTCTATTTAATGCCTATTTTTAATTTGCTGAATAAAGTTTAATTGGGTCATGTAATTACTAGGCGATTTACTATTCCTTAAGGCATAGGTCCCTACATGATTGTTGTCAGGTGGCTTGTCTGAGGACATCTTTCTCACTCTAACAGAGCTTCATCTGCAATCTTTAACTGAAAGTAAGAAAAGGCTTCAGCAGATTTCAATATGTGTGTTTAAAATTAAGCCAGGTAAATTTTATTTCTATTTTTATAATAACAACTAAAATGTAGCATTTTTATTACTGTAAAGATGTTCATTAACATTACATATTGTTACCAACAGGTTTCCCATTTGAGCACTATAAAAATAAGCAGGCTTTCTTGTGAAAAATCTTTATGTATTAGATTTATATAAACTCATAATATGACTTTATTATATGTGAATAATTAATGAATAATCTCTGAGAACTAATGCCATCTATGATAACAATAGACGATCTTGAATACATATTATATTAAGAGAGAATAACAGCAGATCCTCAAAAAGAGTGACCTTAATATTCAGATCTTTGCATGAACTCGGTACTCACTGAGCATGAGTAATTAATGTAAATAAATTGCTAGAAATGAAATACCTTTGAGTGTGTATATGTCCATGGTGCTTGATTCCCAGTAGTAATTTTAAAAAAGAACACAGATGTATTGGAGTCCTTTCCTTTCTTTTTTCTCTTTCTTCCTAATCTTTTTTTTTCTTCCCTCTCTACTTTTCTTTCTTCCTCCATTTTCGAAAGTTTAAATTAATCTTTCAAAAACCCTCTCGTAGGATTCCATTTTCCACAACAACTCATAAACCAGATGACAGCCACAGGCATGACAACCAAGATGAAATTGGCTGTGGGTCATTCAAAATTCCCAGGGATAGCTATCGTTCTATCTCTTTTGCTCAAATTCATGAAAAGATTATTTGAATAAAAGGGAATGGAGGTTATCATTTTTATGAGGAGGATCTTGAGTTTTATGTGTATTTATTAAAGTAAATTATTTGTGAACTTTGGTACTCAATATACTATTACTAACAGATCATGTGTGATGTGCCTTAAGACTGAGTGTGACTGACTCTTGCAGGGGAACTCTCAGTGCTGGGGAATCCTGCACCAAAGCCCTGGTACCTCAGTCTGCCATCGTAGGAGGAGGGGAAGAGAGGAGATCAAGATGATGAGATCTGATTCATTTGAACATTTTAAAAGTAATATTCGCTCTCTGGGATATCATATACAGCTAACATGTACTGAGCACAGATGCTGTTCTGTATAATTTTACATGCATTATGTCACTCAGTCTTCACAGCTGTAGGAAGGAGGTGCCAATGTTCTCACCATTTTGAAAATGAGGAGGCTGAGTGACTTGCCAGAGGTTCCAATCTAGAAAGTGGTGAATCATTTGATGTCAGACTTGAGCTAAAAAGAAGGCGCTAGGAGATATTCAGTTTCTATAGAACAAAACACAGGAAAAAATGAAAGTATTTCTTATTTCAAACTTTTAAAGAATTAATTAAATACCAATCAAGGAACTCAAACTAATCTGAAATCCTGATGTGAGGTGAAAATTTTAAGGTTAGTAAGGAGTTGCTCATTCATGTTTCTAAAACAGTATGAAGGCTGGTTTCCAGGCTTCTATAGCCTCTAGGATACAAAGAAAAGAGAATGAGCACAGTTAAATTCAAATATGAGAGAAAATTTAAAAAAGTCAGCACAGTTAAATCCTAGCCATCCAGTGCAAGGCTCAGGGAGTGCACAGGAAGAGGAGACCTTCAGTCAAGGGCATGACTATGGGAAAAAAAAAATAATAATAAGGAAGACCTTTCATATAAAAATGTTCTTTTAAGGATTTTCAATTTAATAAAATTATACACACTTTATTGTTCTTCATTAAATTAGATAATTATTTTGTTGCCCCACAGAGATCATTTAATAATGGCAAAATGACCCTTTGAAATTCCATTTTTTTAAAATTTCAGGTAATCCAGGAGTACCCACATGCATTTGAGATTCTGAGATATATTTTGATAAGCTATTAATTAAGTGCTGTCATAATGATCCTTAGTGAGTAATCTTTAATTATTATATTTTACTTACATGGACTTCAATAATTGGATAAATTTAAATATTTTATAGAGAATGTTTTGTTTATAGCTCATATGATGGTGTACTTTCTCTCTTTTTCTTTGGAAGTACATGACAGCAACAGATTTCTTTATCAATATTAAAAAATCTCTTAAGTAGGCCAATTTTAATGGCCATCAAGATTATTCCCATTCTTCTCTGGCTGTTTTGTTTCAAAATCTAATTAATGTAAAGGTGCTGATATTATATCCAAATTGAGGCTGAGTCCTGAGAGGACACAAATGCATTAATTCTGAAAGCATCACTTCTCTCTCCCCTCTTTCTCTTTCTGTCTTCCTTGTCCTTTGGTTACTCACGGCCCTGAAATTACACAATCCAAGGACAACCTACTGTGAAGAAAAGAACCGCCACTTAATTGCCATTCTTAATTTCTGGTTTCTATCCTTTAGCTCACTTTATTTTTTCTTATTTTTCTTTTTAATGGCAGGTTCCAGTGATTTTTAAGATCACATCATTTTACAGTTGCTCTTGTTCAATTTGAGAGTCACTAAGAATTGCACCTGAGAGCATTATGTCCATGTCTGGCCGGTTGTTCTGTCGCCAGCCCACTGATTTACTGATCAATCTTTCGGTAAATTCATTAAGCCACCAACATCACTACACCCCTGCTCTGAATCAAGCAGTTTGCGACATAATTCTGCAGATATTATTGCTAACGCACAAAGTATTATAACAAATCCGTGTCATTACCTCTCATGTACACTTGAGAAAACTGAGGCTGAGAGGGTCACAAATCTTCAAAAAGAACAGATTTTGAATCTTGAGCCATTGAACTCCAGTGTCCACCTAACTTCATCTACTGCACGGGTTTGAGTAAAATAGTCTGTGTTTCCGTGCCCTGTCTCCTTGATTTGTGTATAAAAATGTTATATGGAAGAAAGTGAAAAATTCCTTGTAACAAGGGGATAGGAGATTTGCTTTGTCGGAGAATAAAACTTCCCTCTAGCAATGTGTAGTGATTTACTGTATATCCCAATTAAGGTAAACCATCTTGCAATGTTTGAGCAAACCTTCTCTAAGTGAAGGATTAAAATTTTTGTTTGTTAATTTTTCTTTTTAATATGAGCCAAAGGGAAGTGATAATAATGTTGGTCCAGCTATGGGTCAGATAATGTTATGATTATACTCCCAAATATATTACTTTGTTAAATGCTTTTGGGTATGAAACTGAAATTTGGTTTTGTTATTCGTGAAATGGAGGAAATAACTTCTTCCAAACAAGACTGTGAAAAGGACTGAATAAGACAATGCATGGAAAAATAGCTTATAACGAAGACATCTGACTTGAAAGTGCTATAAGATTTGACAAAGTGACTTTTTGCAGTAAAAGAATTTTATTTTTCTTTTAACCTTATTTTGATAATGATATATTAAAAACACATTTTATAAATCATAGTTATTATCAAAGAGTATGGAGATTCTAGGCTTATAACTTCCCTGCTTCTTTTTCTTTACAATAGGACCAGATTTCATTTCTGTTGTTGCCATAATCATGTTAATGCATGGAAGAATTAGAATTATATTATTTTCCTTTTAATCTACATGTGAATAAGTATAAGCATCACGTTAAATATTATTTTATTTAAAAAAAAATCTACCCAAATCAACTTTGAAGATTTCTTTTTATCTTATAAGGTCTACAGTAGAATGGTTTCCATAGAGGATATTACCATGCCTAAGAAGTTTGTCAAGCTGCTGATTGTTCATTTGGCTCTGACTGAAATTGTTCTAAGTGGGAATGTGCTAATTTGGCCTACAGATGGTAGCCATTGGTTAAATATTAAGATCATTCTAGAAGAGTTGATTCAAAGAAATCACAATGTGACTGTACTGGCTTCATCAGCAACTCTATTCATCAACTCCAATTTTGATTCTCCTGTGAATTTTGAAACGATACCTGTTTCTTACAAGAAGAGCAATATAGATTCTTTAATTGAACATATGATAATGCTGTGGATAGATCATAGACCAACTCCTCTCACACTATGGACTTTCTACAAAGAACTAGGAAAACTCCTAGATACTTTCTTTCGAATTAATATACAAATCTGCGATGGTGTATTAAACAACTCCAAGTTAATGGCAAAACTTCACAAAGGAGATTTTTCTGTGTTGGTAGCAGACCCAGTAACAATCTGTGGTGACCTAGTTGCTCTGAAGTTAGGAATTCCATTTATATTCACGTTGAGGTTCTCTCCAGCCTCAACAGTGGAGAGACACTGTGGGAAAATCCCAGCACCAGCTTCCTATGTTCCTGCAGCCTTGTCAGAGCTCACTGACCAGATGACCTTTGGCGAAAGGGTTAAAAATACAATATCTTATCCTCTGCAAGACTATATATTTCAGTCCTACTGGGGAGAATGGAATTCATACTACAGCAAAATTCTAGGTAAGTCTCTACAATTTTCTCTTATTAATAACTCCAGATACCTTATTTATTCTTATTCATACTTCTTCTTCAAAAGGTTTCCATTTCACTGCATATGCAAAGCTGTAGTAAATGTACTTATTACATCTCTGTGCAATCCCTTGGTTATTCTCTTGGATAAATTCCTAAAAAGTGAAGTGGTGGTATGAATATGTATGTTATTGTCTCAATGCAAATAATCTCATGTCTATTTAGACAATAGCTTTTCTATGTGTAAATCCATCTTCAAAAATAAATGAAACTACCTTTACTAGGTTAAATTATAACATTGCCCCAAAATACCCTAGCAAATATTTGAGATGATACATGATTTACTTTCCATCCTTGGTTCATCGTTTTTGTTTTTTTTTTTTCTTTTTTACACTTTGTTATATTTTGTTTAAGAATTGCCATGCTATACTTGAATAGACGTGCTTCCACCTTTGCTTTTGACTGGGACATACATAGCCACGACTGGAGTATGGTCTTTGGAGGTCCCCTTTCCTTATTTCGAGTATTTTCACTTCCACCTTTGAGGACCACTCTGGGATTGGGGCCGCTAAAACCTGTGGGATCTTATTGGGATTTCTAACCTTCAGAGAGGCCATCCATGGTCCTGGTGCAGCTGGTTCTGATGAGGAACCCCACCATCATAAACCACTGAAGGGTGCCTGAGCTGGAAAGGTCCCCAGCTTTTTTTTTTTTTTCTTTCGGTCTGGAGAAAACTTTTAAAAAAACATTGAATTAGGCATGAGAAACCCTGAGTTTACACCGTACCCTCACTCTTTCTCTATCTTTAGGCTTCTCTGGGTGCTTGGGCTAGCACTGCCTCTCAACTTAATTTCTCTGTATCCTTTGGCAAGCCTCAAGTTTCCTTGCCTTAAAGAGTCCTTTTGAGGAGCGAACAAAATAATGCAAATTGTCAAGATTATTTCTGGTTGGTTGTTCTTATTACTTCTCTTTCTGAGTCTTGTGAGCCTGTCTTCCTTTACTTTTCTATTTTCTTCTTTCCCAAATGATTTTTCCTTCAGATCTGTCAGTAATACCCAGGGGCATTCATTCATAGGTGGAGTTAACAGTTGCTGCTATGAATGATACTTTCTCACAGAAGAAACGTGTAGAATGTTGTCTTTTTACACACCTTTTGGCTTCCCTCCCTCCCTCCGTTCCTTCCTTCCTGCTTTCTTTGTGAAAAAAAAAATTTATTTAGCATGAACCCAATGCCTGCGACTTTTCTAGGTACTAGGAATATAACAATGAGCAAAACAGATAAAAATCTGTATTGTATTCCTATTCTAATAACAGGAGACAATGAATAAAACAAATATATAAAATATATAGGATGTTGGACTGTGATTTATGCTACACAGAAAAAGAAGAATAGATAGTTCTGATAAATAGAGTGGGGTTTCACAGTTAAATGGAGTAGCCAGGAAGGTCTCGAATGAAAGGGTGACATTTGTACAGAGACCTGAGTGAAGTGAGGGTGAGATGCAATAGGATTCATGGAGGAAAAGCATTGCAGGAATAAGCAAGAAAAAGGGCAATCACCTATGGCAAGTTATAGGTACAGAAATACCCTTACTCTAACTTGAACTTAATCTAACTTTTTACAAGTACAATTTGTATATGTACGTTTTTCTTTTCGTGATGTGGAAAAAGTCTTCATCCAATTTTCCATCCCTTAAACTTTAAAAATTCTTCATAGAATTGGTCTACAGGGAAGATATTGAAAATACCACACATATAAATAAGCCATATGCAAGGTAATCAAAATTGGCTTATGTTTTTGAAGATATGGTAATTTGAAAATGTGTAAGTAAAAATCTGTTTTTTTACTTTTTTCTAAAAAAAAAGAAAATTTAGTTCTTATATAATAAAGAATATAATTGTCTTTATATAGTAGTATTTTTTTTTTTCTGGATTTCAAATTTTATGTGTCTCAAAAACACATTTTGCTTTAAATTTAGATGTTATTCACATGAGTGTTTCTTAAGACATTTGAAATGTGTTCTGTAATAATTATCAATAATTATCACTGTATATATATGTACTACATATTGATTACTGCAAGTTCTGAATGAAATAACAGTCTATATTCTTTAAATAAAGGGATTACAAACTGTAAGATGGTAAAGGGTCTTGGAAAGCATATGAAGTTCTGGGTGCAGATTTTGCAGGCTGTGTGATCTCAGAGAAGTAACTTACACTCATTAAGTCACTGTGCTTCCTCCTCTATAAAATGACGTTAATAATTTCAAAGTACTCTTTAGAAAAATTATATGACACAATTTGTATAAGTATGCCATGTCAATTATAAAATAATTATATTTATATTTAACTACTCAGGAATTCTGAAAACTACTCAGGCACTCTGCGATGGCAAAGCCCTGTTTACAATATCATGAGGCTCTGTAAGTAGAAAATAGTCAGTAATTATCTACAAAAAATAAGTGGTCTCTGGCATGTACTAAATCTTCCTTCTCTATGGAAGGCATGAATAATTACATAATATGTAAAAAAGCCTTTGCAAAACAGAACGTTCCCAACCTCTCATCATTACAGGATAAAACTCTAGTTTCAGAAATCCTACCTTTTGAGAAATTAAATAGATTATTTACTTAAACCCTTTATGCTTCTCATGTTACTAAATGTATTTGAACAACAAACATCTACCTTGAATATTTTATTTCAAATTGAGTTATTCTGTCAAAAAAAATTGGTAAAATCCAATTTGTCTTTTGTGTGCAAATACATTCTTAGAAAATTAGCAACACCTGGTTAGTGTAAATTGATACTGAAAGAAGGCAGATACCTTGTGTTTTATATTATTATGTTTGAATACAGGAGATTTAATAACATTACATCTCTGTGGAATTTCCATTTCATTTGTTCTTATTCACTTCTGTGTGGGAAAAAAAGACCAAAAAATAACATGTCAAACTGTGGTAAAGAAAAGCACTAAATTTCTTAAAGGAGATAGAAGTAAGTAGCAAGGACATATCTAACTGCGCTTTGTCAGAAAGCCAGTTTTCTATATCAGTGAGATATTAAATCTTACAGGACAAGTGAATAAAAATAATCACTATTTTAACATATGCTTCTAGCCCCTAATGGAACAGGAATATCAGAAAATAAGAAAATCATTGCTACTCATATCCAGAAGTAAATATATTAATACATCTTGCTGATGCCAAGTGTTATCCATGACACCTTCAATTGCACTGAGCCTAATCTCTCCCACAACTTCTGAGAGACCTGCTGCACAGCATATAGTGGTTCCCACGTGGGTAGGACCAGCCTTTGCTGCAGCTTTAGGAAGATTAAGGCCTTGAATACTGCAGTGAAAATGTTTAAAAAGGTAAGGGAACTGGATGGCTCCATTTTGCCTGTGTCTTTTGGGTTTGCAGTCTTTCTCCATCCTCCCCAGTGTAGTGCAGATCGGGAAGGTAGAAAGCCCAGAACTAATCTACACACCAGTGTCGTAGTCTACTTTTAACTGTTAGTACCATATTGATCTGCTATCCTGCTGATACATTTTAAACGGATTTCTAGAAGTAGCATTACCTTTTCCCAGCCCATGGAAACAAACGAACAAATTTCTTAACATTCCCCCTCTATCCAGCTTGTCTGAACTAAACTAGATTAACTAAACTAGATTTAATTTGTATTATTTTTTTTAATCTATGGTTCCATTTCTGGGCCCTGTGTTTTGTTTATTGGTTTTCTCTGTACCCCACACCGACCCTACTTACTATTCCCAGCTTGCCACCCTTTCCCTGGGTGGGAAGAAATGAGAAAACTTCTGTAGTCAGTACTGTGGGATTTTTAAATTTTGTGTAAACTTTCTTTTGAAGTGAAACATAAATCATAAATTTTCAGCTCAGTGAAGTTTCACAAAGTGAACACCCCCTTGGAACAAGTACCCACATCAAGAAACAAAACATTATTACAACCCATAGCGCCTCCTCTTTTTTTATTTCATTCCCTATATCCCATGGGAGAATTACTTTCTTGATTTGTGATACCATATTGTTTAAATGAACCTCACATTACATACTTTTCTGTATTTTGTTTCTTTTGTTTAATATCCATGTTTTTGACATTTGTTCCAAGTCGTTGCATGTAGGTTTTGTTTATTAATTCTCATAGCTATACAGATTCTAGTGAATTAATGCATCATATTTTATTTATCTATCCTACTGTTGATAGAAGTTTAGGCTGTCTCAATTCTGGCTATTTATTATAAGAACTGCTATGAACATTCTTGTACATGTCTCTTGTTGAACATATGCATGGGAGTGGAATTGTTTGGTCAAAGACTATGCGTGTGTTTAGCTTCAGTAGATACCACTAAAATTCAGTTTCTCAAGAGCTTGTAAAAACCAATAATCCCATTAGCGATGTACTAGGATTCCAGTTGTTCCCCATTCTTACCCATACTTGGTATTATGCTTTTTGCTTTCAATTTTCATTATAACCATTCTGTTGATGTGTAGTACTCTTCATATGATAGAAAAAGTTTATAAAATATAAAGTGTTATTTGTTTTGTCAAATGTGTATATCCATGTAACACATCAATCAGTCTCTGGGATCCTCTTCTAACAAGGCCACTACCCAGACCTTTTCTGACACTTATCAGGCTAAATAACTCCTACCACTTAATTCTCATTCTTCATTATTTACCTTCATTTTTCTTTTGTGAGATTTTAATGCATCCTCTAATCATTTTAAATGTAAATGTAACATGACTGATTATTCTGTCACCCATTTTCAGTTTGTTATCCATCAAGAATCTCTGGTTTACATGTTCTCACTCATTGGTGGGAGCTAAAAAATAAACAAATTAATTCACCCACATACACACACACAAAAAAAAAAAAAAATAACCCCCCCAAAAAAAAAAAAAAATAACCCCCCCAAAAAAAAAAAAAAATAACCCCCCCAAAAAAAAAAAAAAATAACCCCCCCAAAAAAAAAA